AGCTCTTTCGTACATCCAATAAGAAAAGGTTATCCAAATCACTCTTTTTGTTGGTTACTTTATGTCCCTTTTAAATATTAAGACATCATCCAGTTTCATTTGTATATCTAGTATATCATTTTTCTCCATATCATTCTTGTAATTTGTCATATTTAAATACTTTTGCAACAATTTCAGTTTTATTATATAGCTTGTTCCTATGTGACATCACTAACCACTTCTATGGTATCAGATATTATTAAAATTAATTTCTGAGGCCATTGTTCAAAGATATCCTTAAAAATACCCACTGTTAAGGTATTTTGCTCCATTCTTTGATAATGTCAAGCTTAATTATTCTTCACCTTTAATTATAATATTTATGTTCTTCTAGTGTCCAGCCTTCAAACTCCCTTCCTATATTGATTTTTTTCCAAAGAACCCTCTCACCCAAAAAACTACGGGAACATTTTTAAAAATTAATTTCAAATTTTTATTCTAAATCAATCTGGACCCTAAGTCCATTTTTAACTCTATACACTATTTTGCTGTTTATTCCAAAAACTAATATTTTTTCAAATCCTTAAAATTGTTTTTAAAACTTCTTTCTCTAGAGCTAAGGAGACTTCCCCAGTGAATGCAATAAAAACTGTAGTGCTGAAGGGTCTTAATATTTCCAAAGCAATAAAAATAGACTCAAAGGTGATTAAGAAATGAGACTTGGTCAAGCTTTTTTCCAAGGGTTGCGTTATGAGCAATATCATCATGGCACTCACCAGAAGTCACATTTGAACACTTAATTTTACTTCCCTGAAATTCTCAAGAACTGCATGCAGCTCTAGAAAAAAGTTTGTTGATGTTATGCTTTCATTATTTATATCACTATTCCTACCACTGAGCAAATAGACATACCAGGCTGGATTCTATCAGATAGTAAAATCCCTCTGTATTAATTTTTATATTATTAGGACTAATCCAGACAAGATTTGACATAAATACTACATAAAGTATGAAGTTGGACACCAATTACAACTTTAAGGAATGTGAAATCTGCAATGCTGAATTAGTACAAAATATATTTACCAGTTGCGGCCTTTTCTGGACCGGGACGCCTTACGCACAGTCACTCATGCTCTTGTCACCTCCCGCCTGGACTACTGTAACGCTCTCTACATGGGGCTCCCTCAAAGGAGCACCCGGAGGCTTCAAATGGTCCAGAATGCGGCCGCGCGGGCGGTGTTGGGAGGGACTCGTCGCTCCCATGTGACACCGCTGCNGGATTTTATTTGGGGTTTATCTTTTAACAATTTGACAGAGACACAACTTTAAAATTTGATTTAATTCGGTTTTATCGGGGGGGAATGTATTTATGTTTTGTTTTAAATATGTTGTGCGCCGCCCTGAGTCCCGCTGGGAGAAGGGCGGCATATAAATTAAATTTATTATTATTATTATTATTATTATTATTATTATTATATGAGAGGCATTTTCATACATACCTGCCTTCATTCACTTCATACTTCAGATATAAAGCACATTTTTAAAAGGAAGAATGTCTACTGGTAGTGCAACAGCACTAATGGAAACAAATCTCTAATTCAATTTTTTTAGCTATAAATAGAAATCATTTCATGAGGTTGAAGTGGAAAGGAATAGTTAGTCACAATAGTTATTCATCTTAAGAATTATATCTCAAACAATTTTTACAGTAGCCCTTGACTATGAGACACTTTTTCATGCTGAAAGATAGAAACACTGAAAAGCATTTAATCAATTAAAAGAGAAACAATAAAACGATCCAGATTTCATCAAAAAAGCCTGGAGATATATTTCATTCTTTACTCACCTTAAGGAATGATGTCCAGAAGTATAATCTAGTTTTCCATATTTTTTGGTGTAGTAGCCTTTCTTTTCCATAAGGTCCATCCATGTTCTATAATTTGGATCTAAGCCCTTGAAGTTGTTCCAGGACTCCGTTAAGTGAGTGAAAAGGCCACTCCACATGGCTAAAAAAATATTAATAAAACAATGCGTTTATACAACCTTCACTTGATACAATTTGGATGGCAGCCCATAAGACAAGAATTTTGAAGATTAATTTCTTGCCGCTTCTATGGAACAATACTGTGCAAGCTCCAGGGGAACTCCTATAGCATGAAAATTCATCAAAATATTATCTCTCTCCTTTCTCAAGGATGGAATATATTTTCTCTGTAGGTCCTTTATTTTTGTTCTGCCATTTACCCAAATATTGCCTTTTTATGTATAATTTTACCTGCACGGGATGGACAGCAAATGGGAGAATTGGTGTAGGCATTAAGAAAGAGACTGCCTTGTCTCCTCATGAGATTTATAAAAGGCAAAACTACAGTTTCATTTTTTGGGGAAAATGTTAGCCTTCCGTCCTGCAAGAAAAGAAAAAAATGACAATGTGGGAATGCATTTGGAGATTAAGGAGTATTACAACTCAGTGGCTAAAATGTGCAATTTATGTACTGTATTTATTTTGTTGAAAATTAGATATTTTAGATGTTTTTAGGGAGAAAAGAGAACCAGCTTTATCTAGAGGTTAGAGCACCAGGGTATAAAGTGGGAGATTCTGAGTTCTAGTCCTACCTTAGGCATATAGCCAGTCAGGTAACCTTGGGTCATGCACTCTCTCAGCTCTGGGAAGGAGGTGATGGCAAATCACTTCTGAGATCTTGGCAAGAAAACTGAAGGGATTGATCCACGCAATTGCCAGAAATCAATTCTGACTCAAAGGAACAATAACTTTACCACACCATCATTTAACCCTAACAGGTCAAAAAATTTAAATTTCTTGCTAGAGTTCCTTAAAATAATATTACAGAAGGAATTCTAATTGAGAATATTTTCTGTTCTGCCTACTTCCTGTAGATATTGGAACTGAGAAATATCCTTTCCTTGTAGCCTGAACGGCTAAACGTTCTGATAATTTAATGAATTACTCATTTGTTCAGCCTAAGAAAGACACTATAATTTTCCAAAATTTTGCAGTTTACATTGTGTTTTAAACATGGTGTTTATGGAGACTCTCAATGATCCAGGTCATGGTTGTCCCAAAGGTGCTTTTTCCAAAGGGCAACTGGATTTTCTTGGTTTTTTGTTTTTGAAAATGTTTCAGAGTGAAATGTTTTCAAAGAAAAAACCAAGAAAGTCAGTTGCCTTTTGGAAAAAGCACCTTTGGGTTAAACAGGGCGTGTTTAAAAGCTTTTGTCTTTCAGTGGGGTTCCATGAGACCAATCTGACATATGCTCAGGCAACTGCCATTTTTGCTAGCAACTTCATGGCTAAAAGCCCAATAGCCATGCCTATTTTTTTTTTCTAATCCTAATCACCTTCTCACTACTGTTTAAAAACACAGAAAAACTTGCAAAATATCTCACACCCAACCTATTATTTTATTAGTTGTGTTGGTAGGCCCCCTAGTGTACACAAAAAAAACTGTTTGGAATGTTTGCACAACTTGTTTCCTCATTCTCACTATTCCTACCGGTATGATCCCATTTGGGAGGACAGTTATCTTGGAAAGATGTAGCTTTATACAACTTTATGCAATGGAAGTACATTCCATTGGTTCAATGGGCAAACATAGTTTGCCCATTGCAGTTTACATAGTGGATATACTCAAAGTACTTGGAGTTTACATAGGCTTGCAGTTTACATAGTGGATATACTCAAAGTACTTGGATAAAATTTAGCTACGTTCACATTCAGTACTAATGGGGCAGTAGGTGTCTGCTTCAAATGGGAAGAGACAGAAAGGTGAAGCAGCCAAAAGAAACATACAGTAGGCCAACTCTTCAGAACACAGCGCTCCCTGATGTGGAATTACATCTTCCACTAATCTGATCCTACTATGGCCAAAGCAATTACACTCCCAAAATATCTGGAGGGCACCACACTGGGGGAGCCTGCAGTAGCTGAAAATATGAGTCTTGTGTCATCACTCCTTCTTTCCCTTCAATCAAAGTCAGTAGAAAACAAAATTGTCTAAATAGTCTTTTAAAAGAAAACAAAATACTTACAAAAGAATCGCACACCACCAGCACAACATTAGGCTTTTCACAAGTATCACAGCTCTCTTTAGGACTGAGCAAAGGCCTTGCCTCTACAGGTCTCCAAAGAACAAACCGGACCAGCAGAAGGCACAAGCTAACTATTATATAGTTTGTAAAGCAGGCGGATTTTCTCCCTCCTTTATCCATTTTAAGCATCTTCCTTAAGATCAAAGGCTCCAGCCCCTTCCTTCAGAATTCCTTCTCGGAACCCATTTTTACTTCGCACAGCCGGACAAACGATCTTCAATTGACTGAGCCTGGGAAGCTCGTGATCAACAAATAACACTATTAGACCAGGGGAGGGGAGGGGAAACAGCTGCACTATGGAAAACTACTACTCCCATGATACATTGCGAAAAATTAGTTATTAATGTCAATCCCTTTGGTAAATGAATGCGCTAAAGCTGTCTTCCCATTCAAGGTTAGGAATGTGCAAAAAGCTCATCCCTTTTTACCGTGCGAAAGGCGGGGGAAACCGGAAAATATTTTTTTTTTAAAAAAGAGGTACTCTGGCGAACCATAGTGTAACGCGACGAAGGAAAATAATTACAGCGCAAATTATAATTACAGTGTAATTTGTAATTTACAGACCACGGACCATTGTCTGTGAAGAGAGGACCTACGCATAGGTTATAATAAAAAAATAGGAAACCAGAATACTTGTGCAGTAATGTCCTGTCCTCACCACCTAATGATAGACTCCAATGCAAGAATATATGCTTCGTGTAGAAAAAAAACCTCAATCTTCCAGGTGAAATTTTGTAGCATAATTTTTTTTCCATAAACGATTGCGTGCATTTCTCGCAAAGTAATCCAGAGGTAAGAAAATCAGTAAAATGAAAAGTGCATTACATCCAGTAGTAAAAGGGAATTTATTCTCCCCAATTAGTTTAGAAGTGAAAAGTTCGAAACCGTACAATGAGAGTAACTGCGTGAAATCTAGAAACGTTTCCGCCAGGGAACCACAACTCCCATCACTGCGCGAAAACTGAACCAGGCAACCTCGCGCAGTTTGCCCTCTGACGTCAGGGACAAGGGAGGGGAGCTTTAAAATTAAAAACTCAGCGCGCCTGCGCAGTTTTTTTGCGAATTTGAGGAAATGATACTTGGTGGCTGCTGGTACTGGTAGTTTTCCTGGGCGCAGCGGCTGCTGGTGAGTGTCCCTGTTGTGCGACCCCGGGCGAGGGTCTTGAGCCCTCGAGCGCGCTTTTTCTGCCATTGTGCCCGATTTCGGTTTCTTTGCAAAGAAAACCCGATGAATCTCGCGCTTAAGCCGGTTTGCGATTTCGTTGGGGGAAAGCGAAACGATCAGGCTCGCAGCGCAGTTCTGAACGCCGCGTCCCCCACCCTCCTCCATGTGTCCACGGCTCCCTTTGCTACGTGGCCTTTGGCCTTGTCTTAGGGTGGTTCCAATGGAGGTTTGGTTTTTTTTTTTTTTTTTTGCAACGGTGACATTTCGCATCCCAAACATTTGGTGCAACGTCGCCTTCCATTTATAACTCTGGCTTTCCCCATCATTTTTCTTTCCCAAAAAGTCTGTTAAGCAGAAAAAACTTCACAAAGTATTTAACTGATAAAGACATTTATTGTGGAGCTGTCCTACCTATTGCAAGGAAAGCAGGACATTTCTGCAATGAAAACTTTGTCTGGAAGATCCCTAAAGAAGCATACTGAATCTTCATTCTTGGTTATAAACTTTGCATGTAGGGTACATGTCATCGCATTTGCCATGTACTTTTCGACCCGTGCCTTATATTTTCCTCCCGTAGTTGTTTTCCTGTTAATTATATAAGACTCGAGACAGAGACATTTGTTTTGTTGTATATGTAATTGTGAAGGTCGTTATGGGCATTTTTAAAGTATGGCTATTGATTACAGTGATGATCTTAGTATATGTGTACTAGCAAGTGTTGGGAAACAGAATTATAAATTCAGACGATAGCAGTTTAAATGTTTGCCCACACAAGATTCAAACAAATTCCTAATTCCCTTCACATCTCTAACATACTTGTAATTATGCTGGTTTACATTATAGGTTGCTTTTAACAAATAATATAAAATATTTTGAATACTCTGGCTGAAGGGTTCCCTCTGCAGACCATTAGAATAATACTTCTAGAGAAGGTCTACTATTGAGAGATCTCTGAAAGTGAAAGACATGCTTTATTCAAAATGCTTAATTTGGCTGGGCTGAAAAGAAAGAAGCAACATAGTTGTGGGGGAAAATAAGCAGATGAAATAATGTTTTTTGTTTATTTTGTCATTTCTCTCATTGAACTAAAAACACTCAAAATTTCTTTAGTTGCCAAGAAAAGAAAATTATATTAGCCCAACATTCCAGAGCTCGTATGCATTCTACAAATTCTGCAAAATGAGGGATGAATGGGAAGGTATAGGCATCCAAAGCGGGGAGACATATGACAGAGTACATATGTAACAATGCAAACTCTGGAATTTACCTGCTGTAGTTACATCTGATATTAGGATGCAAATACAAAAGGCCAGAGCTTGTGTTATTGCAACAAAGGTTTCATTATTTTTTATCACCACAATTATTCTGGATTATGGGTCCTGTATATACTCTCTAGTTGTATTCTCTTATATATGCAACAGTATGACCTTGATGGTTTAGGGTTTCCTGCCTGAGCAGGAGGTTGGACTAGATGACCTCCGAGGTCCCTTCCAACTTTATCATTATTATTATTATAACCTAGCTATGCTGCTGAGTAAAATACTATACTGTATTACTTTACAAATATGCATCAGATGTCTTCATATGTATCAGTAACTTTCTCAAATTAATATTACCTGTAGTCATGTCAAACAAGGAAGTGAAAGCAGCATTGAAAAGTGCCAGAGATGCAATAAGAAATAAGGAGTATAAAGAAGCACTGAAACATTGCAAGGTAATCAATAGTCAAAAGGTTGTCTGCATTAAAACATTACAACATGTTCATAGTACTGTAATCATCTTTAATGCCATTTCAGGAGTATCTTCATTCTACAACAAACCTGTATAATTATTTTTCTTTCTCTTTTGCTGTATATTCTTTTATCTGCTGCCATACTATTTTTTCTGCAACAATACCTTTCTTATCCCATCCTTTGGGATTTATTTTCCCTTTGTAATTAATATAAAATTTCCTGGTTCATCCTATTAAGCCAGAGTTTTATTTAACCTACTTTGTTGAATTAGGCACAATCACTTTACAGACTACTTCGGAACATATTAAGCCACAAGGAAGCATATGGCATTACAGTATTGTTTAGCATCATTTGTGAATCCAACCACTGAGCTAGGTTGTTAGTTTGTTTGTAATGTCTTAAGAGACTGGCACTGGCAGGGTGTTTTTCCACCAGCACTTTTATATATAATGAAACTTCGAAATTGAACATCCAGAACATATTTCTTGCTATCAAGACTTTTGCATAGTTTTAGATGTTATCCCAAAGATGCTTTTTCACGAGGCAACCTGACTTTCTTTTTTCTCTTTGAAGACGTTTCGCTTCTCATCCAAAAAGCTTCTTCAGCTGAAGCTTCTTGGATGAGAAGTGAAACGTCTTCAAAGAGAAAAAAAAGAAAGTCCAGTTGCCTCATGAAAAAGCACCTTTGGGACCACCATGACCTATATGACTGAGGATCTCCACATAGACTTTTAGATGTTATATAAATTCTGGATTTGGGGGTAAGGCAATACACAGTCTAAGACAATGAATCTGAATAAGACTTTTTAAGTTGTTAAATCGTTTAATAAATGTGTATCTGAATTGCAAAAAGAATAGTTTAATATTTTCACGTGAATTTCTGTTTAATAGGCAGTATTGAAACAAGAAAAAAATAATTACAATGCTTGGGTATTCATTGGCCTGGCGGCTGCTGAATTAGAACAACCCGAACAAGCCCAAGGTGCATATAAGAAGGCTGCTGAACTTGATCCTGGGCAGTTGCTGGCATGGCAGGTATATATGACATTAATCCCATTTTTTATGCAAACATGTTTATATGAATGTAAACATATCTGTTTATGTGAATAAATTGTAGATCTTCAGAAAATATAATAGTGTGGTGAACTCAAAGATTAGAAGCCTCCCCCTTCCCTTTTTTTCTCCTTTGGCTAATAGCTCATTTGCACATGTGCAATATAATGTTATTATTTAAGATGCTGTGTATAACTCAGCATTATAAATTCTTCATTTTCAGCCCCAGAAGGGAGCACTCTGGTTTTTGGGTCAATGACAGTTTTTCATTTCTGTTGCAAATCAAATCATTGGGAAACAGTTGGCAGTTAGTACCTTAAAAGATTATATAGATGGTCCTCGGCTTACATCCATTCCTTCAGTGACTGTTCATAGTTATGGCACTGAAAAAGTAGATGTACAACCAGTCATCAAAGTTTCCACCTGGGAATGACCCGCGTGGTAACATAATCATGATTGGGGCACCTGGGTGTCTGGCTCCTAATTACAATGTCACAAGTAGCCACGGTCACATCATCACCATTTGTGATTTTCCCTGCTGGCTTTTCACAAGCAAATCAATGGGGAAATCATCGGAGATATCACAAGTTGCTCCGATAAGTCATTCCTGCTTTTCCTATGGCCTGCAGCACCCCTCCCAGATCTGCCCCCAACTTCATGCAGTTTTTTAATGTCCTGTTCCAGCTCTCCCTTAGTTTCCCCCACAACCCACTGCCCCATGCACTCCTGCACCCCTGTATTCCTTCCATGGAACTCCTCCTTTTCCTACTTAATGTTGTGTATCTTTGAGTTATCATGGCAACCAGGAATGCCTAGGATTGCTGTTGCTAAATAATGTAATCATGTGATATCACCGATTATGACTGCAGTCACTTAGCAATAGCAGTCCCAGTCCCAATTACCAGTGTAACCAAAGGACTACCTGTAATTATCTCTTGTTTATAAAGAATAACTTTATATATTCTCATCATGAATTGTTTTAATTCATTTTCTGTTATTAAATATATTATGTTGGAAGGCATAGTCCTTAAAAGTTGATAATTGAAGTTGAAGTTACATATCACACATCAAGTATTTGCTTCCAAAGTGACATTCTTCAATTTCACCCAGGGATTGGCAAATTTGTATGAAAAAAGGAATCATACAGATGTCAAAGAAGACTGGATTAAGGTTTATGAGAAACTACTAGAACTCTATGAAAAGTAAGAAATAGTTATATATATTTTTGTCAGCTGTCAACCTTCTGTCATATTTAAAATATTTTAAAAAATAAGAGATTTCACCCACACATTCTTTAGGGGTGAGTATTTCACCCCTTTTGTCGGTCTGTATGTCTCTGTCTCTCTCTTTTTAAAATTATTTTAAGAACATAGATGTCAGCAGCAAAGCTATGGTTAAGGATTGTTAGTAAGGTGTATATTCCTTCAGTTAGGAAAAATTTTCCTCTTCCCATTCTCCTTTCCCCCCCCCCCCGAGAATTACCTTGGAAAGAGGCAGCAAATAGCCCCCTTCAATGTATTAAGCTTTCATCTACCTCCAAGTGGTGTTATCAATGCTAAGTTGTCTTTTTTAATGACTGAGGAGAAGAAAGAAAACAATGCTAAGTGAAAAAGGGATAAAGGGGTCAGGTAATTGTAAAATTAAAGGTGACCAAATAGAGAGCAGTGAAGGGAAGCCATGTCTACTAGATTGAGGAAGACAAAGATTAAAAAAGATGTTGTGGACAATACTGGTGAAAAAAAATTAGCAGAAGCCCAAAGGAAGATGGAGAAAAGATGATAGAAAGGAAGATGTAAAAAAAAAAAAAGTAAAGGAGTCCTTGTGGATTTTACTTTGCTAATTGTTGTTGACTATAGGGGGTGTTGCTCATCTCTGTTTCAAGGCCATTGAACCAGCACTGTCCAAAGACATTTCCATGGTCATGTGGCCAGCATGTCACAGAG